TCTCACAAAGTTATTCCAACCGTCTGCCAAAAATGAAGCTTCGAGAATTACTTAATAGAAGATCAAGCGATTCCAATCAACGGTGAGGATCTGGCCAAAGATAAGGCCAGATAGCAGAGCCCAATAAAAAATGAAACTTTGTAAACACAGGCCCACAATAACCAACAAGGCCAAGTAATTATGAGGCAGCCTAAACGTAACATTTTATTATACAATTTCGTGTTTCTTGAAGTTAAATAAGTTACTTTCATATGCAGTGTGTTAGTAAAAAGGGAAGATGGAATATTGAAATAACAAAGCATCGATCGTTCCCTCCCATGGTTGTGGTTCTTCTATTGAGAAGGAGGTGGTTGCATTCTACCTATCTTCACCCTGTTTTCTGCCTTAATAATGTAAACTGCATCTTTTCCACCGGGTATTAATGTTGCGTAAAAGTAAGATTGTCATTCATCATTAGTGGTGAGTAGTGTTTTTGGAAAATGTGTGGTTAGAAAATAGAGAATTTTTTTTTAATTTACGTGTAAAATATTTTATTGTGTGAATGTGTGAAAGAGTTTTAAAAGAATGAGAATCAAACATGGGCAATCTCTAAATACAAATGACTTTTTGAGATTAATCAACCTTAATAAGGTGAATCGATTTGATTAAAGAACTCCCAAAAGTTTCTCCATTCAATGAGTAGGAAAGTTGTTCTGAACAATCTTTGATAGTTGTTCCAAAGTTCTTTCCCTATTTATTGGTGGGCATCAATGAAAAAGTTATAACCTTTGCGCTCAAAGCGAGATATGATTTCCGAAATCTGACACCCATGGAAACTTTATCAGAGATCGTGCAAAGATAGAACACGTTAATACAAATATGTTGCCAACTCAGCCACAAGACCAAAAGTAAAGAAGGGGGGAGGGGATCCAAGACTAGATTATATAACTGAATGCAGAAACATTGTCATAAAATTTGCATGTTATCAAGCTTGTCATTATGGTATCTGCAGAAAGGAACCTTCCATGTAATAATAAAATAAGTTGGGCAGAATAATACCAGTCCTCTCTGCACTCCATCTGGCTTGATGGCAATAAAAACGCGTTCCATCTTCACAAAAAACAAAAATTGCATTGTCAGCCAATAGAGAAGAATGGACAACAATGTCTCGCATGCAAAAGTTAGGCGGGGCTGTAGGATTTTGGGGCTCCAATCNCGAGCCGAGCTCGTTCGTCAATGGGCCGAGTCGGCTCCACCACTACGCCTGCACCATAACCACCATCAACACAGCTTAACAGCGCCATCACAATCCCGTTGACGGCAGCCTCCTTAGAACCTCCTACAAACAACTCCTGGTCAATTTCCTTGAGCCTGAAACATCAACCACACATCTCCATTCTCGGTTCAATTTCGTTCTTGACATCTTCCACCACTACCACTACCAGATCCAACAAAACATATCGTCATCATAGTCATCGCCGCCACCACGGCGTTGCCACCAACACCAACCAGCCACCACAACCATGACACCACTACCACATCCACGCCACCAACACCAACACAAAACACAACAGCCAAACCTAATTTCTTAGGTGCATCACCTGGAACCTTTGCTGCAAAAAGCAGAGTCTCGATGCCAGGCTCCGCTGTCGCAAATGGCAGCGCAATGTTGTTGCGATAGCCTGAAAATTAGGAGAGTCAGATAGAGCACCGTCGGTAGAGAAAAGGTAACTCGTCGCTGCTGTAAAAATCGGGAGATGAGGAGAGTGCCGCTGGTAGAGAGAGATTAAAGAGAGAAGACGGAGAAAAAATGAGAAAGATCTAGGTTTTGAAATTGGGGCGGGGTGGATGGTGTAGGGGTATATAAATTACTTTAATTTTGTATAAATTATTAATATTTAAAATTTTGATTATCATCTGATTTTTGAAAAAAAAAAACTTATAAATTTTAATTTTGAAGTGAGAAGTTTAAAAGTTGTAATTTCCACGATGGAGAATTTTGAAGTTTTTTAGCAAAATTTATTTTTTGGTACAATACTGTAGAATTTATAGTATAAATTACTAAATTTAGAATATATGATATGTAAAGTGTAAATAGACCCTGAACATAGAGTGTATATTGTAAATTTCCAAATTCTTTTCAGAATTAACTTAAAAACTACAGTATGGAACCAAAAAATAACTTTTGCTAAAAAAAAAAAATTCAAATTCTCCATTAAAAAAAAAAACTAAATAGACCAAGATATCCATAATTGGAAAGAACAAATCACAAAATTTATATCACATTGCATAATACTTTACACATCAAATTTTGACTAATTTTGTATTCTTAAAAAAATTCAATTACTATTTCATTTCATCTAAAACAATATTATTTCATCTTTCTATCCATAAATTAAAATTCATTCGAGTCCTCTCACGGCGTTATTTACATAAATCAATCTTGTTAAAAAAAATCAATTCTATTCAGAGGATTGTATTTTATCATCATCGTTAACTTTTTCATTAAATTCCTTAGTTGTCGCGAAACATGGATTCTATATCCATTAATTTGCATTTTCTTTGGCAGAAAACATAGCAGATAGAAATCCTCTTCCCTTCCATTTTTCAAAAAAGAGAGAAAAAAAAATGACAATTTAATTGATCGTAGCATCATCAATATGCATATATTCACTTTAAAAGCTTTTATTAACTAATTTAATTAACCCCAAAAAAAACATCATATCAGATAGTCACACACACCAAAAATTCGAAAGTTAGTCTTCACCAATTAAGTGAAATATATCAATTCAATATTCAAGGACATGGAAAAAATCTTGTTCTATTAGAAGAACATGAGAAAAGTGAAAATGGTATGTTCTTTAAATTTTATGCAGTAATCAAAGTTGTAAATTGTAATTAAGAGATTTATTGATTTGATTATAATCTAATACTTTATGAGGTTTTTCAAGAATAAAAGTAAAAAAAAAAGAGGAAAAATACAAAAATAGAAAATGTCTTAGATTTTGATTGTTAGGTTTGGGGACTTTCCTTTTTCTTAGCCCCTATTAGGTAGTCAAAATCAATAACTAATTTTAACCACATATTTTATGGGATTCACAACTTTTCAATCAGCTATGCTTTTGGGAGGCACCATGATAAAAGATAAACTATTTCTTCCAAAAAACAATTTAAGATCAAGTTGACATATAGACTCGTTTCTATTTCTAATATTTAGAATGGGCTAAATTAGTAAATTAGGATGAATCAAGTGATTTGTGGGTTTAAATTTTAAAATTCGGGTTCATGGATATCTTCTTATTATTTGGCAAACAATTTTGTAACACAACAATGTAAGGTGGAGCCACATTGGATATCCACCTTAGCGAAGTTCCTTGTGACTCCGATTTGTAAACTCTCGTAGGTTTTATAATTGTTCTCCAAGACGGCACCAAGTTATTGACCTAAAAAAATAAACGTATTTTCTAAAGACAACAATCAATTTTCCTGTCGAAATTTTAACGGGATTTTTCCTTCTTTCGGGGATTTTGGAGTGTGTTTGAGGGCTAAGTTTAGTAGTAAGAAGTTTGATAAAGGTTTTGTCTGTCGAGTAAATACATTCGTACTCGTGATATTTTGTAATAAAATATTAATTTATTTTTCTATAATTTATTTGTATTAATTTGAGCTTGCATTTTGTTCATGAATTGAATTGATATTATAAATCAAGTGTTTTAGTTTTTAAGCATGGAAAGATTTGATTTATAATCCAATCTAAATTTTATTGTCACAACTGGTAAAAATGAACACTTTATTTTGTTAATATTGTCCTAATTGATTGAAGTTGATCTTGACATTGGTAATACTATTGAGTATATATTTTGAAATGTATTGGATTGTTTCATGTGAAATTTAATTTCACTTGACTATTGTTGACATCGAAAATTGTATTCACAAAATTCAAGCAAACTTAAGATATAAATAAGGACTTTATTGATAATGATTTGCAAGTTACAATCGTAAATACAAGTGTTTGCTCTTTCTTTCAAGGAGATATTTGAAATATGAGGTGTTTCTAGCAACTTTTTTTCCAAAGCCTCAATTCTCCCTTTTATAGGGAAAGATTTTTATGTATTCTTCATTTGCTTGTCCTTTCAGCTATAGTACCGAACTGAGAAAGTACAACATTGGCACATTTGGATTAGTTAGTGAGCTCGGCTGGTCAGGTCATCATAAATTAGCCTTACATGTTGTCCCCAACAATTAATAAACTATTTAGGGAAAGGAGCTAAGTCATGTGATTGGTAGAATTAGCGGGCGCTGACGTAAAGCCTTCCAAATGTTACTTGTCGAGTCACTGTTTGTATAATGTGTAAAAAATCTTCAATCATTATCTCTCTTCTGACCTCATTAATCACTTAATACGAGCTGAAATCAAATATCGAAACTCGCATTAGCACAAGCTTAACGCATGCAATAAACGGTATTTTACAGCTTCGGAGGACGGATGTCAACAACTGTTGTAGATAATACCTTAAACTTGAGCATGCAATAAAACTTGATTACCAACTTGAAGTTTGTGAGAGTGTTCAATATCTTGATGTATTGAGAATTAAAGTGAGATAATTGATGACCATATATTCACAATATGAAATTTATGACCCATTTAATAGGTACAATCATGACCTGGACGAATTTTTTTAATAGACAGAAAAAATTGTGCTCAATAATTCAATTGAATAAATATTGTAATGTGATCACCGGAGACTGTCAAATAGAAAATGAAACTGAGGATTTAATGCATATTTGAAAAATAGCATTTTAATCATCTTACATTGTTCCCAATATTCAAAGAACATAATTATTGTTTACATAGTTTCAATAATTTTAATTGGACTAAGAAAGCAATCTCATCCTTTAGTGAAATAGAATGCGATTAATAAATTATCTCGATCAATAAGAGTTTATTATGTCAAGATTAATTTATTGGAGTATAGTTTAATTGGGTCCATTTGGTCCCTTCGATGGCCTCAAAATAAGAACCATAAAAAATTATAAGAGTTATAATTTATTATTAATTGTAGAGTGATTAATTAATTAAATTGAAAGTGTCATTAATATTTGAATTAGAATTAGAAGGAAAGGTAAATTGTGCCCATATTCAAATATGGTAATTGTGGTAAATTATTTATCGATCACAAATCACAAACATTATAAGTCACAATCGAGTAGACGGTTACAAATTATCAAATCATCGGTCACAAATTAAAATATTTATTAGTCACAGTTTACCTTTTAATTCTAATTCAAATATGGTAACTGAATTCTAATTCTAATTCAAATATGGTAAATTCTAATTCTAATTACAATTTTCTCTACAATTTTCCCATAAATAAATAACAAATTTCAATAACATCTAAACCTATTCAGTCAAAAGCCAAAAATTGTTCTTTCCGTATTTCTACTAGAATGGGAGAGAGAAAAGTGCTGAACAAGTATTATCCACCGGACTTCGATCCGGCAAAGATTCCACGGCCGCAGCAGCCAAAGAAAAAGCAATTCCCTACCCGCAATATGCTTCCCATGAGCATTCGTTGTACAACTTGTGGGAATTACATGTATAAGGGTACTAAGTTTAATTCGCGCAAAGAAGAAGCCATCGGGGAGACTTATTTGGGAATTCGAGTTTTTAGGTTCTATATCAAATGCAGCAAGTGCTCAGCGGAAATAACATTCAAGACGGATCCACAGAATTCTGATTATGCTCTTGAGTGCGGTGCCACGAGAAATTTCGAACCTTGGCGTGCAGAGAAAAAGAATAGGAATATAGATGATATGGGAGATGCGATGAAATCATTGGAGAACAGATATTTGGACTCGAGGAGGGAACTGGATATCCTAGTTGCTTTGGATGATATCAAGTCTATGAACTCGAGACATGGAAGGGTGAGCATAGATTCAACGCTCGAAGCTTTGCAACGGAAAAATGAGGGGAATGAAAGGAAATTGGAAGAAGAGGATGAAGCTCTTATAGAATCCGTGTTTAAGGGGGCGCGAAGGATTGATGATGAAGAAGGTTTAACTGTGTTTTCACCTGAGAAGAGAAGAAAGCTATCCACCGAGCCAACAGATTCTTTACCGAAATGCGGTGTTCGTGAAAGCTTCAAGAGTCGAAATAATGGTAAATTCATTCTGAAGTCTTCGTCAGTCACAGTTTCTATAGTTAAGAAACCACTTCCCGATTTCAATAGTAACAAGGCAGGAAAGGAGGAGCCGAAGAATCAGGAGGCCGAATCCATTGCAAGCAGTGGATTACAATCATTATGCCAACAATATGGAAGTAATGAAGACGATTGATAGCGAAGAACCATCCCACTTGTCTCACATTGGCAGCGTAATTGTAATTGTATTTAGTTTGGTGCGAGGCACGTTTCATATTTAGATCTTGACTGATACTTACGCTATATTGTTTAAAGCATCCAATTTTTCATGAACTAGTAGATTCTTGCTGTTTTTTGTTGGTTCCAAAGTTCACAAAGAACACAAAAACTAAGTAATAGTGCGAGAAATAAAGAATCGCCACAAAGGATTTTTCACCCAAAAGGGTCCGGATGTTCGGCCAAAGGCCTACTCACCCGTTAAGTATCCACACA